ATTGAGCCTCCAAATAAGTGCCCTAAGTCGTGCATATAATCGATATTATATCTATTCACAGACAGGGGTGTTGTTGTTACACAGCTCAGCGCACAGTAAAGTTCTTTAGATCCACTATTCAATAAGCTCAGCATTAGGGTGTTGCATTATTTCTTCTCTCTCACAGCCCATAAATGTTTTTAAATCACTAAGGAATTGACCTATTTCCTAAACACCAAATTTTGCACCTTATTGTGGTTTGATTAATCAATTGTTTGTACAATTAGTGGTGGAAACTGGCTGTATTTTTCATCCAAATTAGGGATACCTACTCGACTACCCTGGATGGAATTACTATGGGAAATATTCTGCAAGCAAAAATATGTGTCCAGTAAAATAATAGCTATTGAAATAAGTATTTTCCTTGTGGCAATTAACTCCGATAGGCATTGTTTTCATGTACAAACTGCTTTAGTGGTTCAGTCTTTGTATAGTAATATTCACAAGTTTTCTTTTGCACTAAAGCAAGGAGGTAGTGGAAGATTTCTTATGACTACATCGTTGCATCATCAGGAATAAAACACAAACTTGTCTTAGGGTTATAAATATCAAGTGTGGATACTCCAGATCCCTTCGTTCCAATAGACAGACATATCAATACCACACCTCCTTTTATATGTTGCATTCATTCACCGAAAAACACCATTTACAAATTAAAGAAGTTGTAGTAAATACAAAATAACTAGAGATGCTAATTTATTATTACTTGGAAAATGTTTTTGTTCGCATTCTATAGGATCATTCCCCTTCGCTACGCCCATGTGTTTGTACATATAAATGCATACTGCAGGATAGATGTATGTGAGCTCGTTATAGTCACACACTTAATGAACACATTCGAGTATAGTACGCATACAGCTGCATCAATACGACCGCCTGGTGCATACTTACATATGCTATGCGGCAAGTTTAAAGTAATAACCAATTTGGAATAGCACCGCAGTACGGAGGACGACAACATCAGCAACACAACGGCAGCATCAACTCTGGCTCGTTTTTAATTTTGCCAACTCGTTTTTAACTAGCACTTAGGCTGATTAAAGTGCTGTATGCCCAGACATGCACAGACAGCTGCTGCACACGCTATGTAATCGGCCATTAGTCAGCTAGAATTTGCGGCCGCAAGTTATAATTTGTGTTGGCATACATATGTTTGCAAACAAAAAAAAAAAACAAAAAAAAAAACGACAACTTTCAATGTGTTGAGTTAGCCACATACTCATACGTATATGAATAATATAAGTTCGTTAATCTGTTATGCAAGCATTTGCAGCATGCCGCGGGCGTCGACTTTATTGCCACTTGAGCGTCTGCTTGGGCTACCACAACAGCAGCAACAACCTTATGAGAATCATAAACTCACGCTTTATTCTTGTTGGCTTGTGCCCAGTGCCTGCCTCTGACTCTGCCTCAGCCCTGGACCTTAAATACTTGGCATACTTTTGCTTATTGCTTTGAGGACCATTTGGTGGCCGTCTCTTTCTGTTGTTGCTGCAACCGCCATATAAAAAGTATTAAACACATATATGAACGTAAAATACCAAAACGCACATAACTCTTATATTCATGTACGCACGTGAATTAAAGTGTGTGAGGTAAGGACTCGTTCTCGCTGCTTGAAGAGCAACAATTTATGTTGTCTAGCGTCTGGCAAATTGCTAAGCATTTTCAAAATACTTAAATTGTATCATTAAAAATTTCATTAGCCAACAAGTTGTCCGCTTGAAGTCTCCAACGACGAAAATACCAGCGCGTTAAACAAATTTGCGTAAAATATTCCCCTCCGCACTTTTAATGCGACAAGCTAGTAGAGGAAACAGACGAAAAAGTCAAGGGTAGCGCGCGCCACTTGGAAAATTGTCAACAGTTGCAGGAAAGCAAGAAAAAAATCGCTGCAAAAGGGAAAGCGGAAGGATGAAAGCAAGCAGTGCAAATCAAAGAAAAACTGCTGATTTTCATATCAGAGAAAAACTTGCGGACTTTGGCAAGAAAAAGTGGTTCGCCCTTTATAGCTCAGCAGCAATAGGAGGAGGAGCAAAGGCAAATGCAAAGGCAGCAGCTTCCATCAATGGGCCTCGTGGCAAATCTAGAGGAGACATCCAACTCACACCGTCTCCGAATGTCTGTTTCCGTCCACATAAATTAACTTTGTAAAATTTTGTGGCTTAAAATTGCTAAATGGCCAAGGGAAAAAATGTTTTGCTTGCCAGTGCCATTTTACAGAACATGGACCTGATTCCAAAAAATAAAATAAACTTCTCCTTTCTCGGAGAATTTGGATACCAACTTAGGTTATTCTCGCTTTTATAGTTTCTGAGATCCTTGCGTTTATCCAGACGAACGGACATGTCTAGATCTATTTCTCTCGTCATGCTGATCAAGAATATTTATACTTTATGGGGTCGGAGATGTTTCCTTCTGCCTGTTACATACTTTGCACAAACCTAATATACCCTTTTTACGCTACGGATACAGGGTATAAAAACAAATTGTTTTAGCCTTAGCTGGACTCAGCGTTTTTTTTTTTTTTTTTTGGGTAAAGAGAATCTTACAATCGAACACACAGTCGTTATTTCTTGTTTTGAATCTAAATTTAAATTCTTTCACCCTCTGACGCATTCCCTATCGTTTATGTGGGCTTTGGTTTCAAAACGCTCATTCAATAATAAAATTGAAGCCTATATCGACTGCAAAGTGCATTTCTGAACCGGGTAATAGGTTAAGTATGGATAGCACTTGGATTGGAAAATACCTACCTATGTAATCCCAGCCCAATCCCAGCTACAGATTCAAACAAACAAAGCCAGACGAAAATGTGCAGCAGCCGCCTGAGGAAATGTTGCACGTCCACATCCCTACCAAAGCACTTGATCCCCTTTCGTCCTGCAGTGGCAGACGCGTGGCATATGCCATATGGTCCGGTGAGAAAATGGTGATGCTTGGATAAGCGCACAAAAGTATGCAATGCAGTTCAACTGCCAACTGAAGTCGATATAAATTCATTTATTCATGAGCTCAAAACCGGAAATGTGAATGTGCTACCTGTGAACCAAATTTAGCTCTGCGTGTGTATGTGTTTGTGTGCATATAAGTGCGCATTTAAAGCTGTTTGTGCATAAAATATACGAGTAGTGCTTGCCTGTGCTTATGTATAAATTACATGTGTGAGTGCAATTTATGAAATGTTTATTTTATGCCTTACGCCGCTGCGACCTCAACAAGCGAATGCAATAAATTATGATGAGCAGAAGGCCAACTTTTGCAGCATTGGAAAACTTGGAAAAGCTCTATTGAAAATTCGCAGATTTAACGAGATGCAAATTTGTCTATTGTGTGCGTGGGAGAAGGTCCTGAGATTCGTCCTCGTCTAAGTCCTGGGCCTCTAATTCCTCGCCTCGCCTCACCTCGCCTCGTATCGCCTCGACTCCTCAACTACTCTACTCGACGTGTGTTTGCCAAACTTAAATTGTGCGCATTATTGGCAGAGTACATGAACACACTCAAATGCACGCAAATGCACTTACATACGCACACTTACCCGCTTACCAACACGCACTGACATGCTCTCTAGTCTGCTGCATAAATTTGCGCTTAAGCCGTTCAGTATGTGCCTGTGAGTGGGTGGGCTGCTGTGTGTTTATGTGCACATAGACAGACACCGTCAAGCTTAAGCAATCGCTGCCAACGCACAAGTGCCTGACTGCACACAAATGGCGATGCACAGACACATGGCCACATACAAGTACACACCTTCACTTGCAAGCACCTATTCATGGGAGACGCCGCTCTGCACACAACTTTCACTTTGAATTTGCCAAGTTTTTCCATTTGAAAAGCAAAAACAGCGAACAGACGCCCAAAATGCGCTTCGATATTCCCACACTAGTACACCACATGCAACACCCTTGCAAAAAGCAAAGGGAGGGCATAGAAGGAGCTGTTTGATTTTAAAGATTTATGCTGCTATTTGTAGCATACTTATGACCGTCCTCAACAAATAAGAAAAGTTTAGTTTAGAAATGTTCAACACGACACGCTCTTTCAGTAGCTTTTGTAAATACATTATTATATAGACACATATATTTATGTATCTTATTTTTAGACAGCTGCCATTTTGCAGTACAAATTTCACTTCACTGATTTGGTACATTCTCCCAGGATTATTGTGGCCAAAAGTAAAGTTATCGTTTCCACCGCCTATGTGCCATAAATTCAGAAATTCATTCATGCTGCTGGAGAGACTTTCTGTTAGTCTTCGTATTCGTTGCCATGACCATCATCGTCATCGTTCCACAGCAGCACAATTCAATTCAATGATGTCATTTTTATTTGTTTGGCGAGTTGTAGACATGCAGCAACAGCGAATTCCATTTGAAAATGGCTTCCTTTTGAATGCATAAAACTCAAAACATAAATAAATCTCTGCACTATGTGAAAATTCACAGTTATGACAATTTCAGCTCTAGGGCGCGTTTGTGCGTGCCGATAAAGCCGATGTTAAACGTGATTGAGTAAAATATATAATTCTTATATGTATATAGTAGGTACTCGTATGTATACCTTAAGTATTTTGATAGAGTACCGAATAGTTGCTTATAGAACTTTATATAAAAGTGTAAATGTACAAGCTTTTTTATACCTTGTACCCTAAGGGTGAAAGGTTGTACCAGACTCCTCAAAGTATATGTATTCTTGATCAAGATGACAAGACTGGGCGATATAGCCAAGTCGGGCGGACTATATGAACCGACGGACAAGTTTGTGATTTTTCGAAACCCCCCAGTTGAAAATTGTGCAGTAATGCCAGCTTCATTCCTCTTATCGTTTGGTCTGTGCGCTGATCGCCAATCAATCAGTCAGACAAGCTATTTGATATACATATATGTGTGTACAATACATATAGATTAAATTATATTATATCCTAATTCCCTCAACCTTCTTTTCCATTTTTTCTTCGTCAGTTCTCGAACCGGCTTTTCCCATGCGCAATGTGACCATAAATCGCAACACCGATGCACATAAACTCTACGACGTGCTAGGGGAAGTGGGCCGGTAAGTGATGGCTTCCCTAGTTGTCCAATTGGAATGGCTAACCATCAATTATTAATATCTATAGTGGCAAATTCGGAACAGTATACAAGTGCCAGGAGAAGACAAGTGGCCTGCAATTGGCCGCCAAGTTCGTGCCCATACCGAAACGGGAGGACAAGCGCAATGTGGAGCGCGAAGTGGAGATTATGAATTCATTGCAGCATCATCTCATTATACAATTGTATGCTGCATACGAATATCAGAAAATGATGTGCGTCGTCCTGGAACTGTAAGATAATAAGCATAGTAGCAAAAGAAAACATGCAGACTTATATTTCTATATATCCTATTCTTATGATGTTCTACCTTGTTGTTGTGTAAATCCACATAGTGTGCGTGTTTTTATGTATCACTACTTCTCTTGCTCTTTCTTTCCTACTATGTACAATGCAGTTAAAGTTCTTTACGGCTTTTCTATGCGTGACTTTTTTTTGTTATTTGTTTCTATTGTTGTCGTTGACTTTCTACATTGTTTGAACACAAAATCTTCCAATCAGTGGAAATGTGCATAAAATACGGTTTACACGTACGCATGTTGTCGTAAAGAGGCAAAGCTCCCTCCCTACACATACATTGTACATATGTATGTACTTACGGTCAGTCATCAACCGTTTTCACAAAAGGTGCTACACAAAGTCTGCAAAACTATGAAGGTTTTATTTTCTTCCTACATTCTTATTATTACGGGAACAGCCTCAAGCAACAGGTTATCCCACTCGAACTCTCGTCCACTTATTATTATTTAGATAGTATTACTTTGCCAACATTTATACGAATTTATAAGCCATTCCACATGATATTTACTAGTATGTGCAATCGAATAAATTATGGCCTATACGGGCCTATTGTCGAAAGTTTTGGGTTAGTCTCAAGGAACTCGCCCTTCATAATGAATATTGACATGGGTTGGCCTAAACGTCATAAAAACTTGGGAAGCAGGTGCGCTGGCCAGACGTGTGATTAAGAAATGACCTTGACCCACTTTGTAGCAATGCACAAACAAAATAAAGTCCTATTTGGCCGAGCGCGTGGCCACATTATTGTCAAGTTGTCAACTAAATTTAATTTTCAAGCCAAAAAGTATGCTTTGACTTTTTTCTGTTATTTGATTCTGTGGTCGAGTCGGGCACAATACTTGAATTCTTGCTTGCATTCTTTGTCATAGAGAGCTGCATAAGTGCATAAAATAAATGGTAGTCTGAAACTGCTTGGATTTAAAGAAATGAATGGCTTCTTCGAATGGTCACTTCGGACTCACACACTGGCGTTATTGTACAATTCCATATGCATGAACATACTACATACACACATACAAAAGTGCTAGATTTTACTCTCACTTGCGCTCTCTAGTCTCGATCTGCTGAGTGGAAAAGCATCCACCCAAAAAAAAAACACGTATTGAAAAGCGGGAACGCAGAGACGTCGTAAGATAGAATAATGTTCGCCTTGCACTTTACATACTATGTATATGAATGTACTATATGTATGATGATTGGATGTAAATATTCTCTGCTTACATTGTAAGCGTCTACACACAAAAATTGTACGGTTGTATGTGTATGTACATGTATGTATAAATATATAGAATCAGGCGGAGTATGTACAAATGTAGTATGTACAAATGTACGCCTGCTTCTTTTCTGCCGACATCAAGTTATTCATCATGGTATGTCAATTGTTAAGGGGTTATACTTGTAGTCATTAATGTAATCTCTACCCAAGCTGTGCCCGCAGATATTGTTGCTGCTTTCTACTGCACACACACGCTCATAGACACGCATAGACACAATCCAAATGTAAATGTATGCAATTGCAACTGCACATAAACATATGTATGTCTCTTTTTGTTGCTTTTTGATTTTGTTTAATTTGTTTAAAATTAGTTTTAAAATGTTCTTTGATTATTTTTTTTAAGTCTTGGGTATAGGTTATTTAGTATGGGCCTGCACTACGTTAGCTTTTCATAATCACTTGTTTTCGCGTAGCCTGCAAATAAATGTGGAAATTGCTTGTTTATCTCAATCGGCCATTCTGTAGAGCGTTACTTATTCACTTTTCCAAAAACTTGGTAAACACCATTCTATAGTGATGTTCCCGATATTGAAAATGAAATTGAATAGTGTGTGCTCCCCAGTTGCCATAGCAAATGAGTGCAGCCATGCAGACCTCTAGTTCCGTACATATTCTACAGCACATATGCATATTCATAAAACAGAGGGAAAAATGCTTCTGTCCTTGGCGTTGTTGTTGCTGCTGTTAACAAAATCCGGCCGGTCCTAGCCCGGCCCTGCAACTGACATACTCGGAGATACAAATGTGCACATTTGAATTTAATGAAAATTGCAGTTTATTGCTGCATTTTGTCTACAGGGCGTTAGCCTTTATCCGAAGATAAAAACAATAATATTTATGCACTTGGTTATATCGCTCAAATGGCATTGTCAATGCTTCGCCATGAATGTTTAATGGAAATGGCAAATATTTTGGACACACATAGATGTATACGTTGCGTAGGCAATTTATATTGACTACATGTGGCATATTGAGATTTATATGTCTGTTGACCATTTGAAAAAGTATTTAACATCTGACAAATTATTTTTCCCTTGATTAGATGGCATGGTACTTGTGTTCAAAGTCTTTTCAAATATTATTTTTGTGAAGTAGAGCAATGTTTTCATTGGGATGTCAATGTGTATTTGAAGTAGGCAAAGTCCTGACATCCAGCATTCGACGCCATTCACAGTCGTCAGTTGATATTAATTCCAATAACTATGGTTGTTGCGTGTAAATACTAGTATTTTAGAAAGATATTTCAATAACATACAAAGACGAAATGTAAAAAATGCTTGATGCAGATTGTTCAGAAAAACAATTATATTTATATGAATGTGGAAAAATGTTGTTGTTAGTGGTTATAACCAAATCTTTTGACAAAAGCTGTACGTCTTAAAATCTAAGCGAAAGTGATTTCTTCTACTGAGGATTGCTTTCGGTTGAAATTTGATTGAAATGGATGCATTTTTAAGTTTGAACATCGCTGGTATCCACAATCGATTCAAAAAAGTCCTACTTAAAAACACTTAAATAGTTCGGAGGACAGCATCAATGCTATTCATAATGGTATTTTTGTATAGCGAATAAATAATATTTGCTTAATAGATGTTATGTGAATGTGTGAAACATGCACATACTAGTGGAAACCGGTTTTAAAATACAGATAGATAGATAAGTTAGGGAACGAAGGAAATGTAATCTAAAATGTAATCTGAAGTCAGCTTCGCCTCAAAGTGGTCTCACTGTTGAGTTAATATTATAATTTGATTATGCATACATGTGCGAAATGTTATTTCTGAGAATTGCCAGAGTATTGTCATCCAAGATAAGTCGGTGAGTAAGATCTGTCAACAAGAAATAGCGGAAATAGCGTTTGTCGGGATTGTATTTCGTTTCGATTTCATGCCTTTCTCTGTACGAGCTTGTGTAATCCTCATTTTTGAATGCTCGACTGTAGGGCGTCTTTGTACACTTTTACGCGCCAAATGCTCGTATTCATTTTAAATATTTTTTGTAGTTTTATGCTGCATCGCAGATTTTAGTGAAACGCATAAACAAACTAACAAAAAAGGAAAATTTTGCTAATTGGTTTTCCTTTTTCATATTTGTGTATGGCCATTTCGGCATTTATGCAACACAAAGCATTATTTTTGTAAAATGGCTTAGCTTCGGCATAGCAGTAGGTCTTTTTATGAACATAAAGCTTTTGAGCATCGAGTTATGTTGATGCGCTTCACCTACCAATCGGTTGATGCTCATGTATTATCTGATTTTCGTGTTTAAACTGGCATTCAGTTCAAATGTCTTGTAAATAACATACCTATGTACATAACTATAAAGTAAAAAAAATGAATTAGCGTGCAGGTAAGCGCGCTAAAGAAATTTATTAAATTAACCAAAATGACCATAGTTATATTATTTGTTAGTCGAAGAATTGTTTTATTGACTAAACAGACGCTATAATGAAACTACTGCATGAGACTGCTTGCCCTGTATGAATGTTTTATGATGTTATTTATTCGACCTTCATATTAAAGGCCTTACATCCTACTAATGGAATATTCCTTCCCGTCATTCATTTTAAAGCATTGAAGGTGGCGAGCTCTTTGATCGCGTCGTTGATGATGAATTTGTGCTCACAGAACGCGTATGCCGCGTCTTTATTCGCCAAGTTTGCGAGGCCATGGCGTTTATACACGGAAATGGTATTGTGCATCTGGATCTTAAGCCGGAGAACATTCTGGTGCTCACACAGAAGGGCAATCGAATTAAGATAATTGATTTTGGACTTGCCCGCAAATTTGATCCGGACAAGCGTTTAAGAGTAAGTGTAAAAAATGCAATTTATTAATTCACTATTTTGATGTCAGCTTTGATTTAAAATCATTTCTAACATTCTAACCGTCTGTCCGTACCTGGATCTCAGAGACTCTTATAGAGACACCAAATTTTGCACAAGGATGCCTTATGTGTGTACGCTGCGGAAGTTTGTTTCATTTTTTTTGATTTTTCCCCCCACTTCCCCCTATGGGGGTTTTCCCGATTTTCCATTCGTATGATAGCCTATATCTCGGAGACTATAAGACCTAGGGACACCAATTTTTAGTCCAAAATGCCTTATATGAATACGCAGAAAATGTGTCTTTTGGAATTTCCCTCCCCCCTCTCCCATACAAATCGTAACTCCCGTAATTCTTGGAATTTCGAACTTGGCAAATACCTCCATTTAGTTATTATAAGTCCAAATGCCAAATGTTTCATAATGATAGGCCGATTTAACAGGAAGTTATAGCCATATATGTACATAAGACCAAGTACTGCCCGCAGCTGTTGTTGTTGTTACTGCTTTGCTCAGGCACACGAGACATACACAGACACACATACACGCATAATTATTCTAAACATATGTACAGAGTATTTCAAAGTCGGGACACCCGACTTTAGCTTTTTATACCCTGTACGCAAAGGGTACAAGGGTATATTAGTTTTGTGCGAGTGCACATGGAACACACAGAAGGAGGCTTGGTAGACCCCACAAAGTATATATATTCTTGATCAGCATGACAAGCCGAGTCGATATAGCCATGTCCGTCTGTCTGTCCGTCTGTCTGTATGAACGCAAGGATCTCCGAAAGTATAAGAGCTAGAATAACCAAACTTGGTATACAGATTCTCCTGAGACCGAGAAAGGAGGAGTTTGTTCATTTTTTCTGATCCAACCTCCCACTCCCCCCCTATTAACGATTTTCTTTAACTCCCGTAATTCTTGGAATTTGGTAGTCACATTAGGTTAGTAATTATATATCCGTATACCAAGTTTCATTATGATAGAATGATCGGAAAGAAAGTTATAGCCATATAACCAGGCCCAATGCACACATACATACATATGTACAAGTACACAAACACGCATAAGGCACGATTCTGATGTAAATGTAAATGTATGTATGCATGCATGGAATATTTTATATTTAATTAGTTAATATTTAGTTAATTAATTAAATTAATTTAGTTAATTAATTTAATTTAATTAATTAATTAATTAAATTACTTTTTTGTGGGGTGGTACAGGGTATTTAAGAGTTGAGCCTGCTCGACTTTAGCATTCCTTTCTTTTTTACTTGTTTTTTATTGACGCTAGGAAGCACATATAAAGTGGGACGAAGGTCAGTAGCAATATAAATCAAGTTATTAAGGCAGTCAATGTCCTAAGGAAATCCTATTATTTAATCTTTTTTCATCATACCAGTGTCTTCTTATAGAACTAACTCGATATTCATTGTTATAGGTACTTTTCGGCACCCCTGAGTTTGTGGCGCCAGAAGTTGTCAACTTCGACTGCATATCCTATGGTACCGATATGTGGAGCGTCGGCGTAATTTGCTACGTTCTGTAAGTAACATAATATTGCTTGTTCCAATTATAAATAAATTGAGAAATTTAATCAAGACGTGTTCTTAAGGGTTGTCTGGTATCCACCCACCCCAAGCAATTGCAGGTAAAGGTATCTAACTAATTAAAAATCTACGAAAGTACGCACAGCAGCCAGGAAGAATTAAATAACCAAATTGTCGGAAATTGTTTGGCGCGTTCACAGAGGCCGTCCTCGCAGTGTTTTACTCTTTGCATATTCTTGAATGCAACGCAAATTTAATTTTGTTAATTAGCTTGCTCTTGTTTTTATGAGTCTATTTAATTTGTTCTTGTTACTTTCACATTTCATGTTTATTGACTCCACCGCAACAACAACAACCAAACAACCCATCAACCAAAAATGACTCCATATGTGTAACTGGATGCAACAACAACAACGACAACAACGACGGCTACAGAATCTCAGGTCTTTCGCCTTTCATGGGCGAGAACGACATTGAAACAATGTCAAATGTAACCATTGCGAAGTACGATTTTGAGGATGAATGCTTTAGTAGCATCTCCCCGGAGTGTCTGAATTTCATAGCCAAGCTGTTGGTGAAAGACCTAAGGTGAGGAGAGAGCGTGAGTGCGTCTCTGTAATTAGAGCATAGACCCTGGGTGTAGCTTTTAATCAACCAAAAACATCCCCCTCTCCACTTCACAATTCTCAGCACTCGAATGACAGCCGCCGAGTGCCTGCAACACAAATGGCTACAACAACGTCCTCCAGCGCCACGGACTGCTTCTACGGCATCGATGAAGGGCGTTAAATCACGCCCTAAATCCGTCTCGCCTGCGGCAGTCGCCTCAGAGTCATCAGAGGATTCTACAGAGACAATTGATGATGATCCAGAGGAGGAGTCGGCGCAGCACGAAGATAAGAAAGCACATGGACTGGAGGTAAGTGACTCTTCATCTGCATTCTGGCCAACTTAAAATCCCGTCCGCCTTCAGGACAAAGAGCTGGATGCCACCAAGGACAATCTGAAGAATTTCATAGTGCGCTGGGAAGAGCATCCTAACAGCCCTTACGTGTTCGACGTGGAGGGTAATGTAATTACACCGCTCAGCGAGTCCAGCTTTCCACATCCGGGTCGGGCTCATGGCGCCGACAGCATCTCCTCGTCCCGAGGTGAGTACTGTCGCGGCTCCCAACGACAGCGCGAACGGCATGCCCTCATTCACGGGAAGTGAGTCGGCACATGGCCAGCAAAGAGATCGGGAAAAGCAGCAGCCAAAACTTAATTTTTGTAAACGGCATAATTAACTGTAAACTAATTGTTGTTGTTAACTTGAATGTACTCAAATGACAGATAGTACAGGCACTTTGATCAGGTAATTCGAGCCCAAGAGAAGTCTGTGAGAAGTGCAGAGAACGGCCTGCATGCCTGCCTCATTGCATTGTTCTACTTATCTTGACTCTACTATCTATATTAATTTATCTGTATTGTGCCTTGTATGGCATGCCTGCAACTGTTTAAATGTGTGTGTGAGTGGATGTGTTTAGCTTAAATTATTTAAGTAACTGTACAGATAAACGCGATCAGGCAAACAACTAATCATATTGCTATATTTGTAAGTGCTTAGACAATTTTACACTGTGATAGAGACAGCCAATGACAAAGAGAAACCAAAAATATATATATACTTTTTTAATACACAAACCCAGAAATTATACTTAATTTCACATATCATGTTCATATGTGAGCAAACGACCCAAACGATCGCTTATGTAAGCCTATTATAGTTTTGATTATTTCTAGAAAGAGCTCCAGCTCTTATAGTACTATATACCTTACAAAAGCCCGACTCCCTAACAGCTCGCGCTTACATACATACTTACATATTTCCATACATACCAAGGTTATGCTTAGCCTCAACAGATGGCAAATAAAACGAGCCATCTGGTTACGGCTCACGATCAGTCAGTCAGGTAAGCGTGCCCAGAGTGGTATTCAAGTAATTCTCACTTCGAAATTCCTCATGCAAACAATATCATACACGTACTATATAAAAATTGGGTGAACACAGTGCTTTGTCCGTCAGGTATCTCTGGTAAAACTAATTTGAATTTGGGGTGCACGAAGAAACTCATAAGCATGCTCATTGTTAGATCTCCTACATTATTTTTCGGTCTCTTCAATGCTTAAATGTTGCTAACAACAGTAACTCCATCTTAATCGATAAGTGTGTCTACAATGCGAGATAAACAAATGACATGAATAACGCCTAATCTTTGCCTGCTTTTGCAGTTTGTTCGCCCTCACCCTGCGAATCGATAGCCACAATCACAGATGACGAACGTGGCAACGATGACGATGGGGCACATGAGGAAGCGCGTAGCGGCGGTAATGACAGTCCCCAATCAGCAGCCACACCCATCAATGAGTCTCGCGAAAAACTATTCCCTGCTTTCGGAGCTGGGCCCAGCAGCTCCTATAGTTCGGCTACACCCTCACCACAGCGCTTTTTCAATGACAACTTCGAAGGATTCTCGGGCAGTGCGACGTCGGCACAGCAGCAGCGCAGCATGAAAAGCTACCTGCACACATTCGATCGGCGCAACTCGGATACCACCTACCTCCTGGGCAGACGTTCGTCGGGCGAGCGCGTCAACTTGGCGGATGAGATACGCAAGCTCTCGGATCATCTGCTGATGCTCGCCGATATCAATACAAAGCTGGGCAAGGGAAACACCTCCACAACGACCCCGAATAGCGACGCCAACAACAACAGCAACAATTTGGGGGCTGCTGCAGCGAGTAGAAGCCACACAAGTTCTACGAGGAATTCTACGACGCAAGAGGGCAACAAATGGTCAACATCCACGCGCACGAGCAGCAGTTGCTGTCAAACAGGCGTCCGAAGTTTGGTCAAAAGTGTGAGCAGCAGCTCCAAAAGCGCTTCTCAGTACGACGATGGGCAGACAAGGACTAGCTCGTTATCCGTACGTCTGCAGCAATCCATAGAGGACACCCCAAAATTGACCAATGGCGGCAGTGAAAAGTGGACGCATTCTGTTTACAGCAAGTCCACCACCAACACCTCCAATGCAAAGAGCCATGCCAGTGTGATTAAATCGCAGGGTCAAAAATCCAACATCGGTTCGGCATCGACCGCAGCATCATTAGCAACAGAAGCTGAAACCTCCAGCAAGAGCAACAACATCATTATAAGCGAATCGGCAAGCAGTCGGAGAGCCAAGTTCCGCATCAATCAAATGAGTCGGGATGTACCCATCGGCCTACCCGACACACATCAGACAGTGAATCTGGAGGAGGCCGCCAACACCACCAAGGACTGCCTGCTCCACCTGCTGGAGAAGTACAATGAAACGAAGACCCGCAATCCGGTTGGTAGGCACCAAAGCATTAGCGTGGACTGGCATGTCAGCGATAATCTCGAGTACCGCTCCATGAGCTCGATTAATGCGTTCTTTCAGCGTCACAACAACAATGGAGGCGGCCAAAATGTGAAGCAAATTCAGGCCCAATTGGAGGAGAAGGCGACTGGAAGCAAATAGTTGATGCCAACGGGCTGGCTTATGTTTTGTTCTTGTATATACTTACATATAGGCATAAACATTCGTGTAAAGCAAATTAAACAATTCGATTAAATGGGTAGCCACAGTCTGACGATTGTCGGTCGGATTCAGGGATTGCGAACAATTGACAATATTCGCGAATACCATTCACTTACACATTTCCCTGCCTTGCATCGATCGGGGATCGGCGTATGTACAGTATACTATACTTCATACATGAAGTATAAGACAAGCTTTTCATAATATAATGTTTACCCGATATATCTCTTAAGAATATGAAAAGAATAAATGTTTATAGACCGATGGTTCCTATTACAACTTTACGATATATTGTATATAGAAGTCCACCTCTTCAGCCACTTACATTGTTTTATTGGCAAACAGTTGTTCATTGATTCACACTTAAAAAAAGAAAGTAATTGTGTGCTCAAACTAAAATGGTCGAGTTGTACATAGACAAAGTAGATGAGCTATCTCCATTACTTACATATGATGCAAGGCGTAAAGATTTCTGATTATTGACTGCTTTGGGATATCCTATATACGAGTACATAATTTTACAGACTAATTTAGTTAATGCTGCTAGTGAAATTTGTATGGTTACAAATGCAATTGATTTAAGGAAATAAAAAGAAATTATGCAACTGAAAAACATTCATAAATAAATACAAGTATAATGGAACTCTGGTCAACATACCAAAAATAATAAAAAATAAAAACAAAACTTTACTCTCTACTACTCACTAAAAGTCAAAACGTTTTATTTTTAGAACAGAATTATGGTTATAAATTTTACAAACAATTTATGGACTATGCCAAAAAGCGAATATCAAATAAAAATAACAAATACATATTCAAGAAGCTTGTATGAGCTTGTCTCGATACAACAAACATGTTGAATAATATTTTTTCTCGTTTTTCACTTTATTATTGAAGCTGTATGTATATGGTGTATATTAGCCTACGTACAATATTATATATAAATATTATGTAAATACTTTGGGTTTGTTCTTAGTTAACTTATAGGGTAGCTTATGTAGGGTAAGAGGTAATCAGCATGGGCTCTGCCCATGCATAGACATCATTTTGTATATCATTTGTACACTGTTGATAGCAAAAAGAGGTGCCAACAAGGAGCAACAAATGGAAAGCAAAGCATGTAAATTGAGTAATAAAATGTTGTAAGGAAAAGAAAAAGTTCAATTCGAATGCACTTGGCGTTAATTGAAACGGCAAGGGCGCACGAATTGGTTGCCAATGTGGAGTATACATAACTGTTTATGTAATTGTGCACTGGACTTATTAAGGATCATGGTGGTTAAGATTCTTGGTTTCCACTAAAAACTCCATAGCAATAAGTTTAACCTTTAAATTTGTTAAATTTATCGCTGAGAGTTTATCTAGGTGGCAAAAGTTGTCCTGGCCTTGCTCATACAATATACAAAAAATATTCCATATTACAAGGCCACGAAAAGTTCTGCACAACCATAGCAAATTATATAAGCAACAACAAATGGTTGCTTTAAAATTTACAAATATTCTTAGTGCAATTTTCATGGTTATGGTTTTCATTGGGTCGTTCGTACATGTAGTTTATCGAGTTTGCGTTAGTAGCTAATCACTTAGTTTATGGCATTTCTCACTAGAGAAATCTACAAAGTTTCATAATGCTCATTCTTATATATGATAGACTAATAAAGAATAGACTAATAGTTAATATTCGCAACTTGAGCCCTTTCTACCTGCATTAATGAGTTTATAAAATTGCGTATTGGTGAGTTAAAACGAAAAAAGGGTAGCCACTTAAGAACTACGGTTGCTATCGATATGGGTTACTGGTATTAAAAAGGAAACTAAAATACAATTACAAATTCTAATTGTAAACTGCAAATTGCAAGTGGGGTTGGTTGGCTGGCGTTTTTGCCGTATGTGTTCAATTATTGCGCCGACGCTTCATTTGTCCGCCAAGAAAGGCGTTCAGGCTGGAGGCGACCATACTACTGCTATGGCTGCTGCCGGAGCTGGTGCGCAGGCGTTTGGCTGGCGAGATTTTCTTCGGCGCTTGCGCAAGTCGCTTGCGCTCCTTCATGAACTCTGAAAGGAAGGAAGAGGGAAAATAAACGTTAGCGCAATTCAAAGGAACTATTTTAAAGATATAGATATCGGAGTCAGCTGTGGTACGGACACTTCCTGCCACATCAATAACAGGCTCAGGGATTGTCGGCGCCGCCTGCTTTTGCACATTTGATTTGAAATGGTGGCACGTGGCAAGCAGCCCTAATGCCGAGGGTTGTACACAAGGGTTGATGACTGGCAGACTACCAGACGGCGCTTACGACAACAAACAGCGCACAAAGGTCAGGTAGACTGCTAGACTGGTTGATTATGCCTACATGCACCAAGTGAAAGCGAATACGTCTACTGTGGGCCACATGGCCAAAACAGTTGCATAAATTACACGCCTAGCTAGATTTGAACAGAATACTGCAGTTCCTCCTCGCTGGGTACGAGTCAGGGCTATAAACTTGGCTATTGTCATTTTTTTTACATTGCATACATTTATTGTAATTAAAATAATTAAAAACTGGACATGCGGGTGCATAAAGAACCGAATGTGAATGACTTTTTCGCTTTGCCACACTGAAAAGCGACAAAAGCAATCGCCTGCGATAAGCAGCCAAGACTCAAATGCCGGCCCATTGTGGTCCCAAAAAGCTGCTCTGCTAATGAGGTCAGCCGATAGAGCAACGCAAAGCAAGGCACAGCTGTTAGCATTTACAACACAGATATTTACGACAGACAGACAGACAAAAAATGCATACAAAGACGGTGGCTCATGCATGCAATGCTGCGGGTCTCGTGTTCAAATCAACCCCCGCGGCAGATCGGTTCTGTAGTCGAAGCATAGAGAGGGTTGCTGCAGGGCATGTGATTTCCTTGGCTCGAATTTACCTTTTGCTGTTCGCTCGGATGGGATGATCGGATAAATCATTCAAAAACAGCTGAAAGTATGGCATGGATTTCCATACCCAAAGCATACAAGCATTGGCATACCCACTACAATTGTAAGGCCCGTCTGGGCACTAACAAAATTAACATATAATTTGGCTAAGGGCGGGGCAACGCCTACGCAAAAACCCAATGAAGGCAAAGGGTGTGTTTAATCAAGTTCAATATTGAACACGTTATGGGAACTTTGTTTTGTAACGACCAAAAACAAACACGAGCGGAAATTACGTCCGAGCTGAAGCCGTGGCCACCGTTCCCAGCGTCACGTTTGATTGCACCTTACAAGAAACTTCAAACATTCATTTGACGCTCGAATGCCCTAGTGTGCAACTTATAAAGTATGCTATGAGAACTTACCTGTGATTTTGAGCTGTCGCTTGGGTGGCGAGCAGGACAAAGATCCCGTGGACGTAGAGGAACCGTTGCTGGCGCTGTTGCTACTGGGCATGGGGAAGTCCATGAGCAGCGAGTCAAAGCCCGACTCATTATCTGTAGTGGACTCCAGGGACGAATTTGTCACATGCTCACGATCGGCGCGCTCGTTGAGCAGCAGATCAAGGTCACTGGCCTCCGAAGGCTCCGGCCGCACATGAGCCGCACGTGTGAGTGTGTACATCTCAGGCGCAATGGTAGATTCCTGGGAGCTCACACGCTCCCAAACGAAGGTCGAACTGACGCTGAGCGGGCATCCAGAGCGAAAATCAAAGCCCCACTTTTGTGTTGCCTGTTCTTGGTGGCGTTCCAGCTCGGCATTAAAGTGCCTGAATGTAGTAAAAGTTGCTGTTGAATAATTGCGCGGTGTACGACATGAGGATACACTTACCTGTTGTTTTTGGCAGCATCACCAGACGAGATATTCGAATGGGCAGTTCCAAACAAGTCTCGCTTGACCCTGTTCAACTTGCGGCAGGGGAAATTGCGATTTATCGCCGGACTCATCCTGCAGAATTCACTGAGCACCACGGGATTGAGAACGCGTGCACTGACCATCGTGTGATTTAGTGTGTTTTGATTTTTGGTTTTGTTGGTGCTTTATGCGACGCAGTTTGTACTTTAGTCTTGCACTTGTTTTGCTATTTGGCTGCGATTTCAGCGAATCAGCTAACGAAATGAAATGTCAAAAAATTGGCGCCAAAACTTTTGTTTTGTGACTATGCCTGTACTGTTCGGAGGGGACAGACACCAACACTAACACCAACACAAACCCACAAACGCCACAGAGTCTCCACTAGGCGTTATATAGCAACTCACACACACACACACGCACAGTCACTCACTCACTCAGTCACTTAGAGTGAGAGAGTCGTTGCAACACACGCGTTGCCAGTGTATTTATTTTTGGAAATAAGTAAAACCTTTCCTCCTACTATCAATATTTCTATGAGTTCGATATCAACAAAAGAGTTGTCGTTCTTATTTGATGCACTTGGTTTTTTTTACACACAATATGGGTAGCAAACGCCACTCACTCAATCTCTAAAATTGAGATTTTTGTTTGAAATGGTACGAGAGCGATCTTATAACACTGTGTTCGTATTTTAAGTACATGAACTTTGTAATTATACCAATTGTACAGTTTACTTTTGTTTCAGTAATGTTGATATGTCTTCTTTTAACGAAGCGCACTGCGCACTACCAACACTCTCGAACTTCGTCCAACGAACTCACTCAGTAGACTGTTTGGTCGTTCGCGCAGTGGCGAACTACGGCGCAAAGCATAATGTCAAACAACCACCGCACAGCGTTGCCACAGCAAAACATGAGAGAGCGCTCTGTCCGTGGCCAACCCTCGAATTCAAATGATCAACGCTTCTTTGAGAGATGGCCGTTTTTTTATTTTTTCTTGTATATGTGCATGTGGAGCTGTACTTGGCAATGGTGTAAATGGCTCTGTTTCTTTAGCTCGTTGCTGGGGCATTGGAAGCGAAGAAATAACGGAAACAGATTGATTTTATTTGGGGATACGAACAAATGTGCATTTAAAATTTAAACATTGCCTAGAAGCACACCGATTTGTTTTGTTTTCTTGCCATGAGAGGGGGGAGGGGAGGGGTAGTAAGCAAGTTTCACTTTTGATTCTATGGGAATGTTCTGCCGTTTCTATGTGAAGAGAATTATTTATGATCATTTAGAACAGCCTCTTACACAAAGCCACTATCTATTTTATGTGCAAAATCGTAAAAAATTAAATTGCACTGCCAAAGCAATAAAACACGATTTATATTGTTTGCACAAATGTAATTAAAAACACAAAAAGCCAAGACGAGCAAGCCTTTGTATCAGCTTGCAGTTCACAACTAAAGACATCATTTGCTTTGTACCCTTACACATCGACGAGAAACTTGGCTTTTCCACAAAAAAAGAAAAAATGTGTCCTGTATAAATAACAATTAACAATGCCCGTTCCATGAGTGCAATCACCCCAAAGGATAGGCAACGTCAGCGATCCGATCGATTAGGCAGCATCAGTGCCCGTGCAGCTCGAACTGAAGTGCAGTCACCGCAGTTTTGTTTAAAGGACACACCCTCCAACCTTCCTGAAACGTAGCGAGCGAGACAGAAAAAGGAACGAAAATTTACACACTTTTTAACAAATTTGAAAATGCTGCCGGCATTGAATTGCAGTCATGTCTTAAACATAAACAACTCAAGAAAAACACACAGGATGGGGTAACGCACTCGCGAGTTCGTGATCCTTTTAAGTAATTTACTCGCGTTGATGAAATATCTCCGGGATGTCGAGGGAATATGGGCTGCTTTTTGCTGTGTAAACACACGGAAAAAATGCATAGCAGGGAATACACATATAGAGGTACCATCATGACGTGGTTTTCAAGTGGAAAATTATAATATTATATCTACAACAGTTTTATTTGTATGGGCAGCTCAAAAAAGGATTACATACCTTTGGAACTTGCGGGTAAGAGATGACATTATTTCAAAAAATTCCCTAATCTTTTGGGTGACTACCAATACTATCTTGTTTACTTAAAGATAAGTTTCCAAAGATACAAGATATAATTGTCTAAAATAAAACTAATAATACCAAATTGAAGGTCACTTTCCAAACTTTATCTTTACTACTAAGCAGTAAAGTCGTTCTGAATAAAATATACGTTATACTAATTTCAATTCCAATGACTTCTTATCATAGCACATAATCAACTGTAAAGCATTACCCCCGTGGTTCTGGCCCCTCGGACGTTAGCCCGAAGATATGATACTTGAAATTTGTTGCTTTATGCGCTGCTTCTATTGAATTATAGTATACTTAGTATATCTACGAGTAAGGCACGTGTGTGCTCGCGGACCGTAACTGCCGAAAAGCCGTAACATATGTATTTCGTATAGTGCCGTATCGTAAGGAAATTACCATAAAAATGTTTAACGCACGAACTGTGACCGCAACTATAAATTGGCCAAGAATATGAGCAGGTGCAATATGGCTAAGAATATTTAAGGGTTTGTCCCAGTTCTTGGTGTAACTTTGCAGAGCCGTTTCAATGTTAGTCATGCGTAAAGTTATATGTTGAAGTGCCATTCCTTTACTAGGAGCTTCAATTCTCTCGGAATAGCAGATATTATTCTTATCGAAAATACAGTCTGCGAGCAGTTCTTAAAAACATACAAGTATGACCAATCATTTGACAAAACTTAGCCTTTTTTTGATTAGCTCGGACATTCATAAATGACTTATTGTTACATATATAGTACATATACTTTTAATTGATGTGTTTTAAAGTACACTGTAAATATGACGGAGCAGTTCGTGATACTCGTATGCAAATATTTGTAGTAGCTACCGTTGCTATAAATCCTTTGACAGATCCTTTGGCTACCGTGCTGCAATCATCAATCACTCAGGAGCACTTGTGCCCACCACAATAGATAACTGAAAATGCATATGGGCCCATAATGACAACTCATTTCGAGTGCATTTTATTAGAACAAACAGAAGATAAACAAAGCCACGAGAGGACCCTGCAACCGAGAGTTGTGTGAAAAGGTCCCTTAGCTAGTGTGGCTTCCTGGTAAACGCGTGGAAAACGTGTTTGAGAATGCGCAGCACAGAAAACTAGTTTCACAAGCGCAGAGCAGCTAGAAAACTTAATAAATATTTATGTAAAGTCAAAGCGATTGGCGTTAAGCAAACACATACTCGTACATATCTCTTCGAATAGTCGACGATCGTGGAAGCAAATCTTAGGTCATGGCTAGATGCTCCTTTATACGTAATATTTGTTTCGAGTGCTGACAGACAGGCAGGTATTTACCCAAGAGCTCCATGTACTTTTACAAACACTTACATATGTACGAGTACATATACATACATACATACATAGCGACTTTTATGTTTCTGTATCTTTATCTCTGCCTTGTCTGTTTGCCTTTATTATCAGCATTGGAGGCGAAGAAAGAATCTTATGAAGCTACCCCAAGTTGGACCCGCTTGAACCATCTAATGCCCAGAGGGCATTGCTTCCTTGACGATTGTGCGACTGTATAAATAATAATAAAAGGGCATTTATGACTGCGATCGGTGAGAAACGCCATAAACGCAATAGAAGCAATAAAGAAAACGAATCATTCGAAACGTCAAAGCGGCTGTGTGGGCCTCGAAATCCTTTCAGGAACCGCTGGGTAAATGAACCGCGTAAAAAATATGAAAACAGGTTGGACGAGCAATTAGAAGTGGGCAACAAACGCTATCAGGTAGTTAGGGTGAGCGCAGGTAGATGGATTTGGTTAGATTGGGGGTTTCAATCACAACGCAATGTCGGTAACCGCCGAGGACTGCGACGCGTCGCTCGCGTAGCAGCAAACACATTTATTGGAGAGTGAGAGTTGCTTAGAGTCGCATGATCTTTCCAGGTTTTATTTTTTGTGTGTTCATAAAAGCAGACACAAAGAAGAAGCGCCGCGTTGGGCCTTGGATTACGTGCGAGGTACAGTAGAGATCCAAGCAACCTAGACGTTATCATTCAACTGCTCGTTTCGCGTCTCCACTGAACGCCAAAGTCCGTAGTTCTTGCCGACATTTTGCTGCCACAGATGTATGCTCCCATCGTTCGCTGATGTGGCATAGACTTCGCCATCGGGACTGTACTTTATGCTGCGTATATTTACGCAGTGTGCCTCAAATGATTCCAAAATACTTCCGCTCTTGTAGTCGCATTTGTAAACAAAATGATCGCTACCCGCGCATACGAAACTTTCCTTTTGTGGATGCAACGAGGCGCCCTTCAAATGGAAAACCATGTGGTGCAATAGAAGCACCTCGAATGTGTTTGCATTTATGAAAAGTACTTTCTTGCTATAGGCTATAGTCACAGTCTCCCTATCCGCGCATAGCTCCAGCGACTTGGCATGGTGTGGCAGAGCAAGGTGGTGTACTTGCTGATGGCTGAGGCGATCCCAGAGACGAATGGTCCGATCGTGCGAGGAGGACAGCAGCGCGCGATCATCCCGACAGAAGAGAACATTTCTCACCCCGTGAGAGTGTCCGCCAGGGTAGAAAGTCGGCGCTACAGTCGAAGATTGCTGCAGAGAATAGAGCACGAGCCGACAGTTTTGACTTCCAGCCACCAGATATTCGGCCTTCGAATCGAATGCCACACAGCGAGCCACCCGCATCTTATCTAATATCTTTATTTCGACTCCGTCCAAGGCATTCCAGATTCTTACTGTACAATCATCACCACTTGTGGCCAGCAGCGTGGCATTCGCATTGAGGTCCACACCGAAAACAGGGCCATCGTGCCCTTTAAAAGTGCCCACCCAGTCGCCGGTGTCGCCGTGGCGCAGCATTGGCTCCCCGCTCTGACAGGCAGAGGCCAGATAGTAACCTGACTCACAGACCTGGCTATAGGCCAGTTGGAAGACGGCATTTGAATGGCCTGCGCACTTGATGGGCAATTGCTGATGGGACATGTTCGACCCGATCTAAGGAGAGTGACAATTTCTATCCTCTAAACACAAACACTGTGGCAGGCCTGCTAAGATGGACTTTAAATTGAAAACTAAACACTTGGGGCGCGTGAAACCCTATATTCTGCAATTTTCAGCAAATTGTACACTTCTATAGTGTCTTTCAAAATAGAGAGGGGCCTTGAAAGAAGAGACATGGCGACGTCAGCAGGTCTAACATCGAATTAATAATAATAATATATTTGAATCGATAAAGCCATGTCCCCTGTCCATCTATATAACCGAATATAAGTATCTGGGACAGTATAAGAACTAGAATATTCAAAACTCGAATTTATATTCTCCCTATCCTAGATTGGACATTTATACAATTTTATGATAACTTTGACAATTTGTAATCAAGGTTCTGTCGTGATGGTTGCGGCGTGATTCGGACTGAGTGCCTACTCAAGGAACGAACTCACATTGTCAGATTCCTGATGGATTGTTGGGCTTTAAAATACCCTGTACCTACTTCACAAATACACAGAAACATATGTATAAATATTTTCTACATTTCATTTTTTCATTGAACTAATTAAATAAAACAAGAGAGAAATACAAGAATCGAGCGGACTCAACTCTTAAATACCCTGTACTCACTTGCACAAAAATAAAACAAAGAAGACGTGCGGACAGACAGACAGACAGACGGACAAGGCTTGACACCTTGATCAAAAACATGCTACGCCTTCTTCTGGTGTTACATATATTCGCACAAAACTAGTATACCTTTTACCTTTGGGTACAGGGTATAAATATAAATCGCCATAGAAATTACAAAAAATCCATGTATGTAAGTCAGTCGCTCTAAATTTGAGAAAAAATTTAAACGGGTTTTTAAATTTTGAAACCCATTTTGCTTATCCTGAACCCAAAGAGCAACAGCTTTGTATTAGCAGATCGGAAAGTTTAATTGTAACCAAGTAGTATGTCCTCGTAGCAACTTTCGCCTTGATAGGTCAATTCAATAGCATATTATAGCTATAAATGTAATCTTTACCCAACTGTATGATGCACGGAAAAGCATAAACAGAAATCCGATATTAATGGATGTATGCGAAGAAGTATGTATGCACGTAGGTATCCAAATCTAGGGGCTGTAATATCTTCATTAATTTCTTCAATTATTTAAAAATAATCCCTAATTATTATCCTAATTAGTTCTAAAATCTATATATGTATGTATTTCCCAATTTGAAGAACTCCTCATTATATTGGATAATGCCATCACTGATGTTACATATAGTATATAGATGCTCCTGGTTCCGAGCCTGAAAATAAAGACAAACAAATTAACGCCGTGCCGTTTACATTATCAGCAAGAGCTCGGATATCCGCCTAATTTTCCGAGGCAATTTCATTTGGCACAAATATTTTGACAGCTACTGCTTGCTTTGCCCTTTCTGGGCACCTGCAAAAGCAAATTTGATTCTGAAGCGGGAATGTTTTTGTTTCCTCGCGGCTGCCGCGGCTCAGGCCAGGCACAAGCTAACAGGCCCAGGTTCAGGTACAAAGTTGGAGAAAGATTGCAGATACTCCTATGTGTGTATGTCGGCGAGGAAAGTGTGCGGCACCGCTGGCATTGTCTCGCAGCCTGATGTGTATGCACAGGTGTCATCCTTGCACACACACACACACACACACACACACACACACACACACAGCCCTCCTGGGCTGCTATGTAATTCACTTGAAGGAGCGCACACGCTTCCTAAATTTCTCAGAGGCTGTGCTGCCAGTGGGCCCCACTCGACGCCGCTGTCTTTGTCAGAGAAAAATGAAAGCAAAACGTTTGAAATATGAATTGAGTCTTCTCGAGTGCATTTAAAATACATTACGCCTTTGTTCAGCAGATTACCTTGCTAATATCCTGTTCGTTACAAAGTTAGTTTGATTATATTCTTTCATTTTTCGAGGATGCCGGCGCCTCCAGCGTGCCATAAACGGGTGTGAATGTGTGTTTGCTCGCATACAGAATAATATCCGCTAAAACGTTTAAGCAATATTAACAAGTGATGACTTGTTCAGCTCGAGGTGTAGAAAGGCCAGTCAGCTAAGCAAGTTGTGTGTGTGTGCTCTTTATTTAATTAAAAGCAGCGACTGTTTTCCCAGGATTAATTCAAGGTGTCGTTGTAGAAATGTGTTTAATGTGTGTGTATGATAAGCGGGGCTCCGGGAACTAATAGTCCGACTGCCAACTATGCTCAGCTTTGTTATACCCTGTACCCAAAGGGTGAAAGGGTATACTAGTTCTGTGCGAATGTATGTAACAGGCAGAAAGTACAAAGTCTATATATTCTTGTTCAGCATAACAAGACGAGTCGATGTAGCCCTGTCCGTCTGTCTGTCCGTATGAACACCTGGATCTCAGAAAGTATAAGAGCTAGAACAACCAAACTTGGTATTCATATTCTCCTAAGATCGAGAAAGTACGAGTTTAAATTTTTTTGTTCGATTTAATTAAATAATTAAATTAATATAATTTTTTAAAATAAATTAAAAAAATTGTTGTTCATTTTTCCTTTTTGGTGGGAGGTACAGGGTATTTAAGAGTTGAGCCTACTCGACATTAGCATTCCTTTCTTGTTTTTGTAATTAGTTAGTCAAGCAACCCTCTCGATATGTTTCTTTGCGCATATTGGCAAGGTTATTTACAACTTTTAAATACTACATCCCTGAATTAACATATTCCCATATTCCAGAAGTACTGCGATTATCTGTTTAAGAGACTTGAACATTTGTTTGAGCTTAGTATTAATTTGTTTACAAGTACAAGTATTACAGGCAATTGATCGGTGTGCTGATTGACTCAATGTCCTACTGCGCCTGCAGCCCTAATCCGGGTTTGTCATCAGCACCAGCACCACCACATTGCACATTAAAAAAAAACATTAATAATAATTAGCGGAATTTAAAAACTGCTTACATTTATGTGTCCTATCCCAGCTCAAATGCTGCACATCATGGCGCTTATAATAGGAAACCGAAAGAGTGCTGAGCAGAGTCCGCGTATCCGGAGTACTTGGACATTTTAGCAATCTGAAACCCAATATTTTTCAGAGCGCAGCACTAAAGCATGCACTGAGAAGGGCCGGCAGGTCTAGGCGGTAACTAAAATAATTTTTGTGCTAGACATCAAAATATTTACTGAGCTCGTAAAGTTGCATACTTTATTGGCAAGTCAACGGATTTTTATGTCTAATTGCATATAATTTTTATAGAACAGCAAGGGGTAAGTAAAAGGGGCCCAGAGCCGGCCACTCCCATTGATAATATGGCAGCAAAATAAGCGCACACATCAATCTCGCCATATGCTATATACATACATACGTGTATGTAGGTACTCGTAATGCAAAAAGTGTCAAGACAAATCAATAAACTTCTAATTTTATTACGGTGTGAGCAGCGAGGATTGCAAAGTCTTCAACGGCAGACAACAGCGAGCAGGCAGCATCCAGGCTCCAGTAGACGGAAGGACGGTACAGATACCGATCTGTCAATTTTCATTGTCAATTTGACAATTGATATCTCACACATCATTTGATTCGAGAGCGCACAATGAGATTGTTTATGTCATTTTTGGGTAAGTGCCGAGCAGTCGACTTGCAAAATGTTTTAGGTACCAATCCCAGCTCAATCGTGGGGTGCCTCGAGGGTATCGACTTTCCATTTCTCCATGCGCCTGAATACCTTTCTTTGGTGAGCAGTCTTCTTCCTTTCTTTTCCCGTGAGGGTTGGTAGCTGTGTGTTAGCTGTTTGCGGTTTTTCGCAAAAAGAAGTGCCAATATTTTTCTGGGTTTCTGCTGGCATTTCATCTACTCATTGGTCAGAGTTCAACTATGGGTACATTGAGGTCTATTGATTAATAACATTAATCTCGTACTGTTTGCATAATCTCTCTATTTGCGTTTTGTAGGTCAATAGTTTTTGGCTAAAAGTACATGATTAGAGAAATTAATGGGACAGATTCGACTATTTCACCTACAAAATATATCTAAAAATATAAAAATGGAAGTACTATATATGCCGAAATCGGTCAGCCGATTTTGATAACATTTTGTGGCAATATTGAAAAAGTCCAATGGAAGTTTGAAGTTTCATGCCGTTTCAATCATCGTTTTTTGGAATATTTCTGCTCATTTTCAGTTGTTTGGCAGTCACTTTTTATTCTGTTTTTCAGTGTTTCAGTCGTAGATTAATATAATTGTAGAATCGAATTCAAAAAAAAAATAAAAAAAATAACCACACAATCAAAAAAGATAAACGAAAATAGAGCAGGTGAAAATGCAGTTGAACGCGAATCACGTTTGCAAGATTTTCGCGAAAGGACATCTACGTCTAGAACCATAGAAACGGAACAAGAATGGGACTCGCGGCATCGGCAAATGCGCGAAAAGGCATCCACATCTGATCCAAGAATTACAAACAGGAGGCGATGGAGGTATTGAGAAAGATGTGACGTCGGAAAGTTTAAAAAGCAATACAATTCGGAAGGGCAGCTTTTACCAAAAAATTAAAATTTTGATTTGAAAAACAATTTATCAATGAAAAAACTTCAAAAAATACTACTTCAAGGTAATAGGTAATAGGAATAGAAGCATTGCTTTCTTTCCAAATTACATTACACTTTCATTGAACGCTTTCAATTGTGTTCCACAATTTAAAAATTTCCCACATGTGTATGAATCCCAAGTCTATTCGAAGGCAGCTTGCTCTAACATCCCCTTGTAAGCGCATGTAAGCCCGCTACTAAATTATTCAAAAAACGACGCTCTACATCAGGTTAAGCACGCTGCTCAAGTGATCAATCCTAAATATTTTTGACACTTCACAAAGGTGAGATCGCCTCCAGTAAAGAACGGAGAGTTGTAAAATTCGCCATGCCTGTCGCATCAAGCGTTACTTTCGCCGATCTTTTTGGACGCGACATATCAATCAAAGTTCGTCACGCTGTCGGGAATTATGTCACTCGCTCGACTCAAATTGCA